GAAATTCTCCAAGAACAAGTGAGCATGAGTCAGGATCTGAAAATCAGAATGACACAGTGTGTGACAGTAAAACACCTGTAAGTTCTCTGTGAAGATTCTCATCATCCAGGTCATAGTTATCCAAAGCTCAAATCAAGGGCAGCTGGATTTGGCTGAAGATACTCGCCTCTCACCTGAGGGGCCTCTTCTCCCAGCTATTTAACCTCAGTGGGGTCAATATTGCTTGGTTCGTTAGCACTCCTGGTTGTTGTAAGACGGTCATTATGGTCGTTGGAGTCACCTGAGGCCAAGTTGGCATTTGTTCAGTCTCCTGGGAAGAGTTGAAAGGACAACATTGTAGGTGGGCGATTTCTCTGTTTTAGAGATAGTTTCTCTACTCGAGTTTAGATGGTTTCTTTCACTCCTCTTTCAACCAAGCCCAGTTGCCCTTGATTTTAACCTATCTTGGTCAATTCATAAATCGTCATCACCAAGTCAGAGGTTTAACTCCATTAAATTGAAAGTACCTGTTTGGTAACTTAATAAACACTTATAAATATCTATAAAACCAATAGGAAGAAATGGGAAAACTGACCAGGAGAATGATGATCCAGTTAAGGATGCCTCTGTATCTGGTGAAGCTGCTGTTGGAGCTCAGCAAAGAGTCTTGGACACGATGACAACTGGACACACAGTTTTTTTTTTAGTCATTGTCTTGTGTGAGGCTTATCGTTCACCAGTTTTTGAGTGTCACCATGCCAGTTCTGGTGTCACTGCACCTGCAATTACCTTTGATAACAAATTCCCCCTGTAGATGGCTGCTCCTGCAGCAGATACTATACATGCTGTCATTGTAGGTGTCTATACTGGTGCAGCATATTCTCACACTAAGTTACAAATTGTCGTTGATAAATACCTGTCTTGTCTCTGGTCATGTTCCGTCCACCTTTAAACACACTGTTGTACAACCCCTGCTAAAAAAGGAAAATCTCGACCCCTCTGTTCTCTCTAACTTCAGGCCCATCTCTAAACTGTCTTTCTTATCTAAAGTCCTGGAGAAAGTAGTTTTTACCCAGCTGCAAACATTTTTAATTAATAATAATGTTTATGAAAAGTTCCAGTCCGGCTTCAAACCCCGTCACAGCACTGAAACGGCACTTTTAAGAGTTTTTAATGACTTGATTTTAACTGTTGACTCAGGAGTCTCTGCTGTCCTAGTGCTCTTAGACCTCACTGCTGCCGACACTGACACTGTTGACCACTCAATCCTCTTGTCACGGTTGGAAAATTGTGTGGGAATCAAAGGGCAGTACCTTTGATTCCCACACAATTTTCCACTTAGGTGGTTTCAATCCTATCTAACCGATAGGAGCTTCTCTGTCCACCTCGGTGATTATTCCTCTGAGACAGCCCCATTTACCTGCGGTGTCCCTCAAGGTTCTGTCTTAGGCCCCATCTTATTTTCTTTGTATATGCTGCCCCTGGCCTCCATCTTTGAGAGGTATGAGGTCTCTTTCCACTGTTTTGCAGACGATATTCAAATTTATTTGCCCCTGAATGTAAAAGCAAAGGGCTCACTGCAGCCCCTGCTTGACTGTATGAAGGACACCAAAACCTAAATTTCCTCAACCTAAACGGAGACAAGACAGAGATCATAATGTTTGGACACCCTGAACTGCTTGATGTAGATTCTCTTGGCCCTTTAACTTCAAACTGTCTGCCACTGTCAGATCCTGCTTTTTCCAGTTGAGAACTATAGCCAAGGTAAAGGCCTATCTCCCTCCTAAAGATTTGGAGAGGGTGATAAATGCCTTCATAACTTCCCGCCATGACTATTGCAACTCCTTATATGTGGGCTTAGACAAGTCATCACCTGCAGTTAGTCCAAAATGCTGCTGCCCGTCTCCTGACAGGAAAGAAGAAGAGGGACCACATCACACCTGTGTTGCGCTCCCTCCACTGGCTTCCTGTTCATCACAGGATTGATTTTAAAATCTTACTTAACTTTTAAATGCCTTAATGGATTGGCTCCATTGTACTTAACGGAGCTTCTTCACATTCATACTCTAGAGTGTATATCTCAGCTAGAGTGCTGAGATCCGCCAATCTCCTCCTCCTGGATGTACCCAGAAGCAGACTTAAAACCAGAGGCGATCGAGCCTTTTGTGTAGCTGCCCCTAACCTGTGGAACAACCTGCCAGTCCATATCAGAACCGCCCCAACTCTTGAACGTTTTAAATCACTGTTAAAAACACATCTCTTTTCTTTGGCATTTCCTTCGAGTTAAGTCTGTTATTATTCCTGGCAATTTTAATATCACTATATATCGTATACTGTATATTATAATGTTTTATTGCTGTACTTTTACTGTGTGAGTAGTGTCTTGTTGTTGTATTTAACCTGTGAAGCACCTTGGTCAAACTTGGTTGTTTTAAGTGTGCTATATAAATAAAATTGATATTGATATTGATATTGACAAAAAACCTTCAGCCCTCTCACTCCTCATACTAAGTGTGTGATCTCTGTCGACTGCCAAGTTCTTCTCTGAAGAAAATATCAGCCTTGCACATTCACTGGAGCTCCTTGGGTAATACAAGGACAAATACAGTCTTCATAAAATGTAACAATCCTGTGGCCATGAGTTTCAGACAGAGCTGGAAAGTTTCAGTGTTACTCTCTGTACCTCAGCTTCAACGAGTCCTGATCTCCTATAGTCAACAGCAAGCTAGTTCTGTATTTAAGTTCAAACTTTAAGTACCTGCACTATAATTTATTTTACTACATTTGTTTGACAGGTTACTTTACAAATGAACTTTTTTACCTACACAACATATGAAGAATTTATAAAATGATGTATTGTCATAGACTTAACTCCCCAAAAGTTTATAAAATGCTTAAAATTGGCTTAAAATGCTACTTTCACATTAATACATCAGTAATAATGCAATAATATAAGATACATAACAGATAAAGTATAAACATTTTACACTAATTCAGACACATTCAGCTAATAACACTTAAGTAAAAGATGTGAATACTTGCTCCTCTATTAATGTCTTGTATCTGCCAGTTGACAGCAGAAGCGATGGAGGCAGCAGAGAAAGCTTACCAGAGCAGAGATGCATAGGGATGTTCTTGTTCACTGGGTGGATCAGTGGCAGAAATGGGGTCACTGTCATGGAGGCTTGCGCTGTCTTCTTCAGCTGAGGACGAGGAGCAGACAGAGGAGAACCTCTTCCTAGGCACAGCCATCTCTGAGTCTGTGGGCTTGTCCGCAGGGGTAAACTTGGGAAGTTCAGAGATAGTTGAATTCACTTATCATATACTGTCTTACCAGGTTGCAAAGATGAAATATTAAAATGCATTAATTTATACCCACAAAACACAAATCAGGAGCAGGGCAGTACATAATTTACATCCCAGCTGCATCTCAATAAACCCCTATATTGTAGGTGACCTCTTGTCCTCACATGGAAAGTAATTCTCACCAAATTATTCCAGCAAAGGTCACGTGAGGTGACTTTCCAATTGCCATTTTAAAGTTGTCTCGCTTATGTACAAAGGTACAGATCCCATTAGATATAGTTTTAGAGTTTATTGGAGAGTCCAGTTCCATTGGGTAAATTCGGCATGCATGTTATCCAACAATATGTCATTCATTTGATTAAAAACCATCCTTTAGTTTTGGTATGTGCGTTTTTCCAGCGACGGTCCTCCCACAAACACACCAAGGTGGGTCGCATCTTGTAACATCGTAATTGCAAAACATGGCTTTTTATTGATTTGTTTCCTGCTGCTTAGTAGAATACATGTACGCCGAATTAAACAACTGCTCCTTGTTTATTCAGGACCCACACTGTTTGATGTTAATATGTCATGTTAACATTTGCCGCTACTAAATGATACTTAAAATTGGCAGAAATCTGAACGCAGCTCGGCGTGACCATACTCTAACGACAGAAAGCGACTTACCTTGTTACCCCCCGACAAAACACAGCATCCTCTCTGTAGGTAGACCTAGATGAACTCTACATTCCACAACATCCACAGCTTATTAGCCTACTGTCCGGATATATTTGAATAAAGTGCTAGTTTGAACACTGATTCCATCTGGGAGTGCGATATGGTCGGCGTCCCACTGGAATATCGCCTCTACTTATAAAATTCAAAATAAAAGCCTCCTTCGCTTTTGTGCAAACCCAAAATAAATGCGTCAGCAGTCACTACCATATTATTTTTATTGTATCTTTTTTTTTTTTTTTAGCCATTCGCGTAAAAGCACTTTTTAAAATCCTATTTTTGAGTTTTATCTTGTTACAGCTAACGCATGTAAATTGTTTATATTCATTTCATCTTGTTCACTTTGTGATTTTAGTGAAATAATGTTACAGCAATATACTACTTAACCAATCAATGACTGTAGAATACCAGACAGCCTAAACCTTTTTATAACAGCAGTGAATCTCAGTCAGATCATGTCTGCTTTCTTAGTAAGAATGTAAAGATAAAGTAAAGACTCCCGGTTCCTTGTCTATTAATTTATCATAAGGATCAGATAACATCATGCAAGTCATTCACTGTTCCACATGGGCCCCATGTCTCCGAGGTAAATTATAATGGTGTAGGGATTGTTTTTATAGGTTTAGGACATCTCAGTAGATCAATCACACTTCAGCTTGTTTGGGTTTGAACAGACCACTGAGAGTTGCCGTAAGATGTGTGCTTTTACTTTGAAGCTGCATTGGCTTCCTTCTGGTAGTCCTCTTGTTGTCTCTGTCTGACTGGACTAAACTCACATTGAACATGAAGATGAAAATACCTTGGAGGTTCTTTACAAAGTGCAGTTCCAACTTCAGGAACCCAGAAGCCTGGCACTGTACAGTTACAATTATAAATGAAGACATCTGACAAAACAAATAGCTTATTTTCCCATGTCTCTCTTTTTTGTCCTTGCAAGGCCATTTTTATTTTATTTTCCAGGTGTTTGGGAATCTGTGGATATAAAAAATTCCTCCCACTGAGAAGATTACCAAATTCCTCAGATTTATTTAAAAAGTAACATTTATCACAATAATAATATAACAGTGTAAGTGTTACACTCCACACAAAACTAAATTTGTATCAATTCTGACTCAAACTCCCTTTCAGACACAGACCATGCTTTAGCACACAGACTACAATCACTGCTGGTGCTGAAATAATTTCAAGAATACATGTCCATGTGCAACTTTCACCAAATAATAATGAGTGTTAATTCCTTGAATGATATTTGGACGTGTTCCATGTGACCAGATCATTGATCCTAAATCAGCCCTCTGGTCATTACAGTGTAAATGCAGGTCCTGCTCTGTGAGGGAGAGGCCCTCAGTTGATGGTGAGCACATCGCTCTGGATCTCGTGGCTCAGCTGAGTCTGCAGGTCACTGAGCTTCTTCTTGAGGACAGCCAGCGCTGACATGACAATGGTCTCTGGTCGCAGAGAGCCGCATGACTCCACGTTGTAATAAAACCTGTGCAGGGAAATGTCACAGACATTTGGACTTGTGACACCATCATTCTTTGCAGACTATAAACTAACTCAAAGCAGAGACATCAGTCTTACAAAAAATATTCTCTGTTATGCTATGCTATTATTACACCGATGCACAATATTCAACCCCCTGATTATGCTCCCCATGCAGTTTATTATAATAGAGTAAACACTATAGATTTACAACAGGTTGACTGGTCATTTCAGTTTTATGCATTTCCCATTGGCTAAGATAATAATAACAAAATCACACGTACAACATGTACCCTCATCAAGTAAAGTCAGACGAAAATTCCTTCCTCACCTTTCTGGCTTTCCATTGGGGTCATAGGGCGCCTGAACCTCATCCTCCTCTATCTCCGAGTATTCACTCTTTGGCCTGGGAACCAGAGTGATACAGTGCAGTCAATTCATCTTTCAGTCATTGTTCAACATTATACATTTAACATTCATCTTTTCTGATGAGCCATGCTGAAAGTAAAACATACCACTCCTCAGGTCGCGGGTAGACTGTGTGCCTCAGTGCATTGTCTGGGTCATACTCGAAGGAGACGCCTGCTGTTGGGTTCCACTTGGCGTGCTCCTTTCCGAAGCCTTTCTTGGCATATGCCCTGAGCCGCAGTTCTTGACCTTTACGAAGCTTCACCAGTAAAATATCTGCGTTGTGTTAGTAAATTAGCAAAGAGAGAGAGTAAAGAAAAGGTAAATGCTTAACATTTGGGATAAAATGATGGGAAAACAGACACCTGACAATAAAATGGTTAGGGAAACGACAAGGACCTTAACAGCCAGTGTTAGCTTTGAGCTTACCATCTTGTTCAACATAGTCATTGGGATCATTGTCTCGACTCCTGGACGTCACCTGGACAATGAAAACACTGTCAGCTTTTAAAATAAAGCTTATAGTTAGGGCTGGCTCAGGTGAGTCCTGAACCATCCCTTAGTTATGCTGCTATAGGCCTAGACTGCTGGGGGATTTCCCATGATGCACTGAGCTCCTCTCTCCTCTACTTTCTCTCCCTCTGTATGCAACCTCATCCCATTATTGCATGTTACTAACACAACTTCTCCCCTTTCTGGTAGTCTTGTGCTTTCTCGTCCCTCTCCTCTCTCCTCCTATCACTTCCTGCAGGTTTTCTGGCTCTGGAGCTGTGGAGTCTGGATCTGTGGTTGCGGGTCACCTGCTGCCCCCGTGTTCCTGCTCGACACCCTCTGCTGCAACGACTATTGTTACTAGTCCTATTGTTATTATTGTTATTATAATAATTAACATTACGACTGTTACCATTAACACTACTATATATATCTGTACCATTATTCATTTAGTCTATAGCAACATCACCTTTACTGTCTGTACCTCTGTGTGGATATTGTTTAGGCTGCCCCCTCTCCCCTCTCTCTCTGTTCCTCTCTTGCCCCCCCCCCCTCCCTCCTTCACCGCCCACCCTGAGCCATGGTTCTGCTCGAGGTTTCTGCCTCTTAAAAGGAAGTTTTTCCTTGCCTCTGTCGCCTAGTGCTGCTCTTGGTGGGAATTGTTGGGCTTCTGTAAATAACATCATAGAGTACGGTCTAGACCTGCTCTTTTATGAAAAGCGCTGTGAGATAACTGTTGTTGTTGTTGTTGTTGTTATTTGGCGCTATATAAACAAAATTGAATAGAATTTTTCCTTTTGCTTCCACTCCCCTCTAATGCCTTCAATAAATGGAGAAACAGACTCACCGGGATGACTCTAGGGTTGTTGGACAAAAGGTCACGCGAGGTGACATGACGCGTCTGGTCTTCAGTACATCGAACGTCCAGCGTCAACTCAACAGAACACTCTGAACAAAAATCATCACAGGTACAGTCCTGCAGGAGGATCAGGTACAGGCAGAGACAGAGAGAAGATTATGTCTTCTCGGTTGCAACTGGGAACAAGCTCTGGCGGACGATGAGCGATATGACTGTATACTTACCCTAGAATACTGCATTTTGTCCACGATGTCATCACTTGTGAGTGGTATGAGACCTAACAACACAGGAAACAGCGATATTGTTACAGCAGCCTTCACAAGTATTATGGCGCTTTCAGACCAAAAGCAAAGCGAGCGTTCGGTGCCGGGGACGCGAAGGAATTCGCATGAGTTGAATATTTTCAACTCAAGCGAAGACGTCGCATGACGCCGAGTCGCGATAGCCTATCAGTGTTGAGATTGTCCGTACATCACAGAGGCTTCAGAGTGTTGTGTGGAGAGGGCAGAGTGGCCGATTGAAAATCTGCTGGCCAGCAGAGAGCTGCTGAACTTGAGGGAGGGGAGCAGCGCTGCAACCACTGGACAAATAAACCCCCGTAGCCGGTCGGATTCTGGTCTGGCTGTTTGCTCGCAGGAGGAGCTCGGAGTTGACTGCTTTTATTAAATTAGCTTTTTACTTTAGTTTTTAGGATTACAACGTTGATTTATCTTCACTGGAGCTTCTCAGCAGCTAGCTTCCGTGCACATCCGGTTTCAGTGTTGTTGTTAGTGTCGTTAGCTCTGTCGGACTACGACTTCATATTTATATAAAAAAAACGGAAAGAAAGAGAAGGTTGAACTACCTGGAGAGTTCAGAAAATGTGTGTCTGTAACTTTATTCCAGCTATCGTTGTACTTAACTGTGACCAAGTTAGCACAGCATAGCCCTGATCGATCCGAACTCCATTCAGAAAACAAACATTTTAGAAGTTGTTGTCCTGCTGTCTTGCTGACAGACCTGACGAAGCATGAATTCATCTGGACAGCGTTGCGAGGCGAAAATTTGCGGTTGGTCTGAATGCGGCATTAGACCTCTCAGGTCATACTGCAATAATATTACATTACGAGGTCCGTGCGTGAAGTATAATTTATCAGCAGGTATTCACATTGTATGATTAAAACAGCCAGTTTAGGGGGTATTTCCTAATTTCATTGTCCTGCTTGCGCGAATGCAAATGTATGTTGAACAGTGCAAGTTAATTTTCCCAGAGCCGATGCTGCCTAAATGATGTTTGTGCTATGCTATGTAATTGTCGCATTGAATGAAGACGTGCAATGGAATTTAGCGCACCAAAACATCGGCTTGTTCCATTTTCCAACTCCTACAATGGAAATTGAACAATAAAGTCTTAAACCGGAAACAGAGACAGCTTACCTTCAAAATACCATATTAAATAACTTATTCCTGGCAACCACTCACACATTTGAGTTCAGGATATCCCTGACAAAGTTTTGCCAAATATTTTCACAGCTGGTTATGCCAATGGATATCACGGGTATAAAAAGTCTACTTTCTCAAAAAGTAAAGTGGCTTGAACAGTAAAAACAGTCTTTTATATGTTATCATATTGTTTATGACCATTGTAGGCTGATAGAGACCCGTTTTATGAACAGCACCACGTAGAGACTCTCTGGTGAAAACTATTTAAATTAAGGCTAGTCACTTTATTTATATACATACACACACACACACAGTTTGGTCTGAGTGGCTGCTTCTGTTAATCTTGTTCCTGCATTATGAGGCTAGAGTAGTAGCCTAGTGTTATTGCCATGACAACAGACCCGCAGCAATGAAGTCAAAGTTCAAGATAAATCAACTGTTTTTACCAATCAGTCATCAGGTCATAAACACTATGTATAGCCTTTAACGTTCACCCAAAGTAACAGATTAGCCTAAGTAGCCTTAACCAAATAAATAAACTGATGAAATACAAATAAATCATTACATTGGCATGAATCACAGCATTCTAAGTAATAATGTATGGTTAAGTGGCAGAAATACAACAAAAGCTTAGCTATCCTTAAAAACTCGGGACATTACAATCATCAGGTTGCATTTTAAAGCTTATTATAAACACTGTGATACATACCAACTCTGTGAGCAACAAACTCATCATGCAGCACCGATGAATTGGCATCAATCTGGATCCAGTCAATCGCTGCAAATATAGTAATGAAGTTCAAGTTAGTCATTTAGAGAGTTTGTGAGGTACTACTGTCGGCAGAAAGCGTTACGCAGACTACATTTCCCAATGTAGCTGATCTGATTTCAACTCCTTTTATTTATTTAGCCATTTCCTTGTGACACCAAATAATATGCATGTACTTCAGGGTGTAAGCAGGATAGTGTATGATTCATGCAGGTAAATGATTCTCTCTCTCTCTCTCAAAATGTCTACTGGGTAAAAAGGCATATATGGCAAAGCACAAGTGAACATTTTTCAGCTGCTACTGTTGTCGACTGTGTGCTATATCAAACTGGACTGTAACTGTTATACACTGCTCAAAAAAAATAAAATGGAACACTTAAACAACACAATGTAACTCCAAGTCAATCACACTCCTGTGAAATCAAACTGTCCACTTAGGAAGCAACACTGACTGAATCAATTTCACATGCTGTTGTGCAAATGGAAAAGACAACAGGTGGAAATTATAGGCAATTAGCAAGACACCCCCAATAAAGGAGTGGTTCTGCAGGTGGTGACCACAGACCACCTCTCAGTTCCTGTGCTTCCTGGCTGATGTTTTGGTCACTTTTGAATGCTGGCGGTGCTTTCACTCTAGTGGTAGCATGAGACGGAGTCTACAACCCACACAAGTGGCTCAGGTAGTGCAGCTCATCCAGGATGGCACATCAATGCGAGCTGTGGCAAGAAGATTTGCTGTGTCTGTCAGCGTAGTGTCCAGAGCACGGAGGCGCTACCAGGAGACAGGCCAGTACATCAGGAGACGCGGAGGAGGTCGTAGGAGGGCAACAACCCAGCAGCAGGACCGCTACCTCCGCCTTTGTGCAAGTAGGAGCAGGAGGAGCACGAGGAGCACTGCCAGAGCCCTGCAAAATGACCTCCAGCAGGCCACAAATGTGCAAAAGGTCAGAAACAGACTCCATTAGGGTGCTATGAGGGGCCGACGTCCACAGGTGGGGGTTGTGCTTACAGCCCAACACCGTGCCGGAGGTTTGGCATTTGCCAGAGATTGGCAACACCAAGATTGGCAAATTCGCCACTGGCGCCCTGTGCTCTTCACAGATGAAAGCAGGTTCACTGAGCACATGTGACAGACGTGACAGAGCCTGGAGACGCTGTGGAGAACGTTCTGCTGCCTGCAACATCCTCCAGCATGACCGGTTTGGCGGTGGGTCAGTAATGGTGTGGGGGTGGCATTTCTTTGGGGGCCGCACAGCCCTCCATGAGGGCCAGAGGTAGCCTGACTGCCATTAGGTACCGAGATGAGATCCTCAGACCCCTTGTGAGACCATATGCTGGTGCGGTTGGCCCTGGGTTCCTCCTAATGCAAGACAATGCTAGACCTAATGTGGCTGGAGTGCATTAGCAGTTCCTGCAAGAGGAAGGCATTGATGCTATGGACCGGCCCGCCCGTTCCCCAGACCTGAATCCAATTGAGCACATCTGGGACATCATGTCTCGCTCCATCCACCAACGCCACGTTGTACCACAGACTGTCCAGGAGTTGCCGGATGCTTTAGTCCAGGTCTGGGAGGAGATCCCTCAGGAGACCATCCGCCACCTCATCAGGAGCATGTCCAGGTGTTGTAGGGAGGTCATGCAGGCACGTGGAGGCCACACACACTACTGAGCCTCATTTTGACTTGTTTTAAGACATTACATCAAAGTTGGATCGGCCTGTAGTGTGGTTTTCCACTTTGATTTTGAGTGTGACTCCAAATCCAGACCTCCATTGATAATTTTTGTGTGATTTTGTTGTCAGCACATTCAACTATGTAAAGAAAGAAGTATTTAATGAGATTATTTCATTCATTCAGATCTAGGATGTGTTATTTTAGTGTTCCCTTTATTTTTATTTTTTGAGCAGTGTATAATGTAAAAACAACGGTCCAGCATTTGTCAAGCAATGAAAATAATAATTCAAAACTGAAGCAAATAAAAGTTACTATACCTATAGTGGCAACTTCTGACATGAAGACACGGCGGATAGAGTTTGCAACCCTGAAAAGGAGACAGACGGAAGGTTGTACAGGCAAAGACTGTAATAACATAACAAAATACACTTAAAGAATAACCTTAGTTAACGTTAACCATTCAAGTTGCTGACTAGGAAATACATCACAGCTAAATAACAATACGATCGTTTGTCCTTTTGTCCACTATTACATTAGCTAAATTATTATTTAGCTTCAATGTACACACACACACACATTTAGGTCACAGAAAGCATGATTATTTTACTGCGTTGTACCTTATTTAACGTGTAAAGTCTCATAACAACAGTTTTGGTGCGGAGAACAAAAATGGCTGCTCTCTGGTTCACACACACTCTTTGATTAGACAATAAGTAAATACTTACGCCAAATCAGTGTTTTCAATGACGAACTTGACATTTTCGTCTGTCAGTTCTGTGATCTTCACAGTCGGCTGGTTAGCATACGGCATTACTGGAGACTAAGACTAAAATTAACGTCGCAAAATCGTCCACACTCCACTACCGCTGCTTCGGCTTGAAGACCTCCACGGAATTATTTACCACCCTCTGATTGGCCAAGAGATGGCGGTCCGATTAATGATTGGTCTCAATGACACACGGGGGCGGGTTTTTATTTAATATCCGGGTCATAGTTATGTGCAAATTCTTTTTCAAAATAAAAGCGCTCACTGTTTTTGTAGACAGATGTTTGCACATTTCATTGATTCTCAAGTTTGCAGAAACATGTGACAATGCCAGGAAAAGTGAAACATTTAACAGAACAGTTCAAAAACGCCCTTTTAATCATGATAATGAAAAAACAAACAAATGTTAAATACGCAATAACTACTTTATTGAAGTCTTGATCCATCAACAAAATTACAGATCGTGGCGTCCTTTTATACAAAAGGGAAAAAATGATCTGAGCAGGAAGAGTGAAGACAAAGCCACTGGTCCTGCAGGTGAACAGAAACAGAGACCTATGGCTGGTGACAAATAATAGTTTTCTCTTGCTGAATAAAAGCCATAATACTTTCAGGAATAAGAGCAAAAAGACAACTGGTCTTCAGCTCATGATAAGCCAGACAGTCGGGATCAGTGTGAGTGAGAGATGTTTTACATCATCGTTTCTGGTTCAATCCCGTGAGGTTCTTCAGCTGTAAGACACAAGACAAACATCAGCCACGTTTCTATAAGCATACTTTACATAGGCCTATTTTTTTAAACAATCAAAAATTTGGAAAATGCAGAGCTCCTGCAGCGGTATATCATTCAAACACATTGTAATAAAATCAGTACAAATCTTCATGAACAATTCAGTTATATAATTACGGGACTGTGTGTATAGACATAAAAAAGAGAGGAGGGTATCATTGTTAATATAGGTTTTGAAAAGAAAAGTGCATATAAATTAAATAAAAAAAACATGAGGCAAAAACTTACTGTGAAAGCAGCTCCCATGAGTCCCTGCACCACTGCTTCACCAGTCGACTGTACCTGCAGAACAAAGTGGAACACACAAAGTCAACATGTGAATGAGGAATGAGGTGAAATGTCTATATATCTAATATATATTTCAAGAGAGGTTAACATCTTAGTCTGTGTTTCACTCTGAACTCTTTGCACTGGAACTGTGATTTATGTATCACAGAATCTTCATCCTTCAGTTTGAAGTTTCCCTTTGCATTTGGCCCCATATTCAGGCCAACATGAGTTTAGCTTAGTGTAGTCGGAGGAGAATGAAATTTTCCAAGAACACTGAATCTGAGGTCAATTATGGACTTATACCACTGATGGGTAAAAGTTAGGAAACACATAGAGGTGGGTATTCCTACATAAGTAGCAAGAACTCCACAATGACCCACTTCATCTGTTTCCCCTTTGTTCAACTCTTTTATGCTATATGTGGTGGACCTGTTTGGCTGTGGTGGCCATGTTGACCACATCCTGAATCCGGTTGTCAAGGAAGTTCCAGGTGTCTTGGAAATCTGGAGAGGAATCCTGGACCATCACCAGCTCTGTCGTGTTGTAGATGCCTGTCAGCGCTGCCCGTTTGGTGTACCAGTTCATCTACAAAAGAAAAAAGGGGTGGTGGGGAAAGATTAATTGCTTACATTTTTAAGCAAGGCAATGTCATTTTAAACTCAATGTGCTCTTAGATGAAAGCTCATACAGCAACATGTAACATGTACAGAAGAATACAAGAAAGTGCAATAGCAACAAAAGAGATGAGAAAAAAATATAGACACAGAGAAGAATTCAGTTTTAAAACAAAACCATGCGCACAATTAAGTTACTAATTTGCAGATTCTTCAATAATGAAAATAACCGTGCAGCGCTACATCATTTAGCAGCACAGTGCTGAATGACAAGACAGGGCGGCCGAGGTAATGGAAAAAGCAAAGCTCTACACTGGGCACTCAAAGCAGCTCTAGCAAATCTGTGACCAACTTTATATCACTTTTTCCTTTTTAAAATACAGTAGATAATAATAGGATTTTTATTTTTCCAAATACAAGCAATTAAAATGTGGTAATTATTCATACTAAAGAGGACGTCACACTAACCACTTCTAACGTTATTATCAGGCTGTAAAGACAGCAAGGTCAGAATATGTAAGGGATAATCTATGATGAGGTGACAAGATAATAATGGATGAGTCTGAGGTAAAGAACACTTAGTCCATTATTTCCCAATATTAAGACATTTCAGATTGCATTGTCATGCTTAAACCGTCGCACCTTCCAAAAGTAAAAATGGGAGAACTGAAAATCTTTAAAACTTCTTGTGGCCAATGTGGCGAAAGTACGTGGTTTTATCTCTAGTTAGTTTATATGCATCACTATGTTTGCACGAGTGATTTCTATGGCCATGGTATTAACGTGGACAGTCAGGTGTTGGTGGGGGGAGTAACCTGGGAGGTGGCAGGCCTGATATTCTGGGGGTGGTGATGAAAGGGGGACAGGAAGGTATGAGCAGCAGCTGCAGAAGAAGGGGATCGAGGGTGATAAGACCCACTCACGTCTGTGGATCGGTCTCCGGCGTAGTACCAGATGTCATCCACCAGGGTGGAAAGGTGCTTCAGGCTGTCTGGGATGTTGTGAGGAAGGAGCAGGATGCTCATAGCCTGAGGAAACACACACAAAGTCAAGGATGTAGTTTCTGCTTCAGACCTGACCTCTGTCGTTAATGAGAACAAAAATGAAGGAAGACAGTGTGTGGCTTGTGCTAACCATCATGCACACCATACCTGTGGCCATGATTCAATGTACGGGATGTACATCCTCAGTCTGGTCTCTACAGCATCTCTTAGAAATTCAGCAGTCTTCTTTGGTCTGCAACACAGTCGTCAAAGCCAAAAGCTGAAATCTGTAGTTTTCCATTTGGAGCTCTATACGTTAGAGTTTTTTCAGGTTATAAAAAAAGCTGACTGTAAATGAGTGAAAAAGCAGAATGCTTTTTTGTGGAACATCTCAGGATAGGCTGTTAAAAGTTAAGTGAATTCACATTTTAACAATAGAATTAGACTGCAGGTGTGTGTGTGTGTGTGCACACCATAGACTGTACGTACTCTGCCTGGCCCAGCTGGACCTGGTTGTGTTGTTCAGCCAGGATCTCTGTCAGCTGTGAGTTGCACTGTGCGATGAAGTGTAGGACCAAGTCTCCAGCTCCGTTATTGAACATACCAGTGGAAGCAGAGGACAGGCCCAGTGTCTGGTACCAACACAGCAACAACACAATGAATAATAATCATCACAGACAATCTGAAATCTCATTTCTTGGTTTCCCCCAACTTTATTTTCTTTAGCTAGTTAGGTTTTAGTTGAAGTACTTCTGGGTATTTTTATGTCTTTATTAGAGATTTGGCTGTAAAGAGAGGACAGACATGATACAGTATGTGGGGAGAGAGATGGAGAGCAAATGCAACAAAGTTCTCGATGTAAGAGTTATCTCTCCCTGTTTTATAATAGAAACAGCTTTAGGAGGAGCCTGTTGTGTCAAGGGAAAACCAGTTTTGGGCTCTGACTGTTAGCGGTGTTTGCTGCATGTTAACAGCAGCTCACCTCAGCAGCGGCTGCCATGGCTTCCATCGACCAGCCGTGCAGTGGGACGAACTCCAGAGCAGCAGTCAGGATTCGAGCTTGAAGCTGCTCCTCTGTTTCGTATTCCTCACCCTGCTCTCCGCCCTGGTCCTGGTAACTTTACAGAAACACACACACAAAAAAAGGGATATTCAGAATAAATATAGCACAGAGACAACATGACATGAGTTGGGGGTCAAGAATAGCTCTCTTACATAACTGTTTGAACTTCAGTACTCAGAAATTCTTTAAGGTGAGGTCTGTAAGCACAACTGTCTTAGTGACATCTACAAAACCTGTGCCCTCTCACAAACTGAGCATTTTTACGTCACCCACGACATCCCTTGTTCAGTGAGCTTTAATTGGTCCGACATCTTTGGGCACCCCGTTTCAAAAGTACAAGGATTTCCTTCATCCATTCAGCCATTGCATTACATAACACACACATGAGTTGCAGCATTCGGGACAGGTGCACGCACACTCCAACATGAGTCATGTGCATAAAATGATTTTTGTTGAGTATATTTCTGTGCTGTATTGCGTCTTTGCGCTCATACTAACAGGTCTGGTCAGTGCTGTGTACAGTTTACTGTTCTGCCATTGTGCACAAGTGTCATGTCTGTGATTGCCCGCTGATTGTTTACTTGATATTTTCAGCTAATGAGAGGTAATTGCAGATATATTGGTGTTTATAACAGCTGATAAACAACAATTACAAAGAAACAGAGAGAGGGATCCTTCAATCATGTTATGATGGTTGTTGAATGGTTTGTCCAGCAGAGTGCACTCTGCAACTCCCTGTTGGCAGCAAGTGTGTTTAGAATACCACAAAATACAGCAATCAGCAGTACTTTGTTCAAAGTACTACTTATAACAATAAAGGAAAGACGAAGATGAAGAAATAATCCTGGGCTCTATTTTTTACTTTACCAGGAACTGTCATTGAGATCAAAAATCTCTTTTACAAGAGAGACCTGGCCAAGTTAGCAGCCATACATAAACAACATATTAAAATGCTACATATAATCATGACAGAATTTACAAAAACAAACAAAAAAACACATCTATTCAAACACAATGGCCTCTCAAGAAAAATAACCACGTCTCCTTCAACACTTTGATGCTCATAAATTTATCAATTGATATACACGTTTCTAGTTTAAGATCTTTTTGCAAATTATTCCATGCCCATGGTGGATAGCATGAAAATCCAGTTCTCCCCAGATCTGTCAAAACCCTGGGTACATTAAAAAGCAACCACTTGGAGGAGCGTAGCTGGCAACTAGCAGAATTGAGACAGAAGGGTACAGAGGTAAGCTGGAAGTTTACCTAGCATGGCTTTATACATAAAAATATACCAGTGCTGTTTTCTGTGGGTGGTCAGTGATGTCCAACCCACCAGATCATAAAGAATGCAATGGTGAGTGAGGGACTTTGCATTTGTAATAAAGTGTAGGGATGCATGATACACTGAATCAAGGCTCTGTAAGATGGAGGAGGCTGCGTGCATATATAATGTCACCATAATCAATCACAGACAGAAAAGAAGCTTCCACAAGTTTTTTTTGGCAGTAAAGCTAGATTTCTAAAATAAAAGCCAATCTTCACTTTGAGCTTCCTAACTAGATGAGGAATATGTACATTAGATAAAAGTTTGTCGTCTATTCATATACCCAAGTACTTGTACGTGGGTACCATTTCAATGGATTTACCATTAGACGTAAAAATGCTAAGATCATCAAGCAACTGTAGGCGAGCTTTTGAGAAGACCATGAACTTCGTTTTCGGAGGATTTAAAACCAATTTTAAATTGAGCAGAGCAGTTTGTAATGAAATGCAGTCTGAAGCTCTTGCACAGCCTGTGCTATGGAAGGAGCATGAGTATAAATGACAGTGTAATCAGCATAGAAGTGTATTTTTGCTTGAATGTCCTTACCTAAATCATTTATAAAAATAGAAAACAGAATAGGTCCCAAAATGGACCCCTGGGGGACCCCTTTAGATATCTCAACAAACTCAGATTTGTGGCCTTCTGCATGGACACACTGAGTCCGATCTACAAAATAGTTTCTAAACCATTTAAACAGTATTAGGACAGAAACTAGCATCCCCAAGTTTGTCCAGCAACAATTCATGATCCACAGAATCAAACGCCTTGGAAACACCTTTAGGAGATAAGGATCCAGATTGTCAGGACCTGCAGATTTAGCAAGCAGAAATCCAGATTTCTATCAGTTGCAGTGGTGACAGAACATGGTACAGGTGCATTTACATTTGAGCTGTCAAATGCAGACCCAGCACAGATAAAGTGTTTGTTTAACTGACTGACCATGGCAGCTTTATCCTTTATTTCATCTGAGCCAACCAGAATGTGTTCATGGAGGCTTGAAGCAACATGTGTCCCTGACATAGATTTAATTACTTTTCAGAATTTTGAGGGGTTATTTAGATTCTCTGTAACTGTCTTCAGATTAAACTCTGATTTGGAATTTCTTATCATCAAGGTGCACTTGTTCCTTAGGGTTCTAAATGTAGTCCAATCAGCAGAGGAGTTTGAAAATCTAGCTTGGACCCACAATTTATTTCTTAAATGAATTAGCTCTGAAAGACTGAAAATATTCCCATGTTCCCATGCCAATTCAACATCCGGAATCAGAGTTACTCTTTTAAGATCACTATGATATAAATCATGCAGGAAAGCCCTCTCTTGAAAACCTTTAAAATATCTTTTAATAATGAATTGGGGTTTGCCAGTTGAGGTGTATTTGTGAGATGTATTTGTTATAATTAAATCAAGCAATGTAGATTTACAGTATGTTGTGCTTTAGGATTTGGCCTTGTTGGAGAATTAATGAGTTGCACTAGGTTTAATAAATCACAGTTCTTTAAAACAATGACAATTTGATATGCCTACTTTGATGGCCAAGACCTCAGACTGTTTAGCTTTAGTAATTGACAGAGTTAATGAGCTTGGATTTGACATACATGGCAACCCCACCTCCTTTACCCAACCGATTAGTTCTTTAGACTTTGTAACCCTCAATAAAAATTAAGTCATCAGTTACAGATTTCTTAAGCCAAGTTTCTGATCATCAGTGCTTGTTGAATTCTAATTGTGTACAATACATTTTTTGGCCACACTGCAAACTAATTTCCCTCTCAAATAATTAAACTAGATTTATCAAAACACCACAACTATATGTCTACCACCACATATGTTTTAATCTTCAGTTACACTGCCAACTCCTATATCGTAAGATGTTCGTACTGACTGACCCGGTGTTGGGCCTGGAAGCGTTCTCCGCTGCTGGGTCAGATGTGTCCTGTTCAGCAGAGTGAGCTGTGTAGTGCTCATGGTAGGTGGTGGATGAGGAGGAGGGTTTGTCAGATTTGGATTCTTCCTGAAGCCTCAGTGCACGATGGAAGTCTCGTCTCAGACTGCAACACTGGGGGTTTGATGTAGTTGGTACAGCCACCACTGTAGGGGGACATATATTCATTAGCTTCTATGTAAATTGGATTTAGATTCATTCTGGCCACTTCAGACAACCCAATGCTTTGACTTGAACCTGATATTTTGAAGTATGGGCCGATATTCTTGAAGCTTCTTGAATTACTAGGAGCTTTTGGGTCATTGTACTGCTGAAGACACATAAAAATTTTAAAAATGTGCTCCAGATTTCATGATGCTATTTCAAGTGAATCTAGCCAGTACCAGAGGCAACAGTGAGCCTCCTGCATGGCTGGGTTTACTGCTTTGTTTGTCTGTTTGTAAACAGAAAGTATGTTTTAACAAATAAAAATCTAATCAAGTACATTTCCTTATAGTACATGATATTAGCTTGTTCAGTTGTGACCAAATTCATTTTGGGTGTTTTTTGGTCTCTCTCACAGCAGTGGTGTCACTCCTGGACCACTTTTGCAGAGCTAGGAACTGATGTAAGTTTAAACTCTTGCATCTTGTGTAAATCTGACTGACTGTTGCTTCAGGGTCTTTCTCCACCACTTATTTTCACTTTATTTTCACAATGTAAATTTTAAAGCACCTTTTCTCTTATGTAGAGTGGATATAGTGACATTAAGGTCCTGAAAAGGACTAGTAGCCTTGGCATGTCTTTGCTACAACCTTGTGTGTGTGACTATCTTCCCTTTTTTCCTCTTTGTGTTCAGCGTGATACACAACAGTGACATAAAAACAGCAGAGTGAGATACAATCCTTCTCTATTTAAAATGGTTGAATGATTTTTATATTGCAGACACGTAGTACAAGAGAGAGAACATCCACACAACACTGTCTTTAATTATATACAAATGTTTTTGTTTGTAGACCTAGAAGACAAAACCTTTGCCTTGTTGTGTTTTTTTAATAGACCAGTACGGGGGGAGTGTGAGAGAGAACAGCAAATTTAACACACCTGCTCCCCACTCACACCTGAGACCTTGTAACACCAACGAGTCACATGACACTGTGCAGGGAAAATGGCTAATTGGGCCCCAATTTGGACATTTTCACTTAGGGGTGTACTCACTTTTGTTGCCAGCAGTTTAGACATTAATGGCTGTGTGATGTGTTATTTTGAGGGGACAGCAAATTTACACTGTTATACAAGCTGTACATTAACTACTTTATATTGGAGCAAAGTGTCATTTCTTCAGTGTTGTGACATGAAAAGATATAATCACATATTTACAAAAATGTGAGGGGTGTACTCACTTTTGTGAGATACTGTATATATATATATATATATATATATCTCTCTCTCTATCTATCTATCTATCTATCACTTGGGAAAAATAATGTGTGCAACTTGTTCAGTCAGTTGAGACGTGAATACTTAAAACTTAAATTTGAATAAGGCAGACACCTGCAAGCATCACATGTGAGTTTCTCTGTTAATTGCAGTAAAATCATCCAACTGATATCCAGTTATTTCTTACATCTAAACGGTGCCAATACTGTTGTTTTGTTGTAGTACAAACCAAACTAATATGTAAATACAAAATTGTGCTTTTAAGTTCAAAAATGTTGAGCAGGAGATCATGCATTATAGGAAAAAGGGTAATAGCACCAATATTTGGCCACGACTGCATACACCAGGATATGACTTCACTGTTTATCTAAGTGGATGAATCTGGAGTTTGGTAGACCACTGGGGGTTATAATCCTTCAACACCGAATTTAAAACAGGACTGCTGTATGTGTGTATGCATTACTCTGTCTTTGCACTGTGTCAAAGAGTAGCGTCTTATGATTCAGTGACAGCAACACTTGTTGTATGTTCAAACAAGAAAATCTAAGCTATATATATTCGGACAGTCTGCATAACCAGAGAGAAGACGCCCCCCAGTTGCAGGAACTTGTTTATCATGCAATGCTCGTTTAAATTAAGATCTAACAAATCTAAACACCACGGTAACCAACAATTATCCGCCTAATTATTTTTGCTTTAATAGCCGCAGCCAACATAGTGTTGCCCGACTCTGTCCTTCATGATCGCCGTCTGTAGCAAGTGACTTTGGTTCGCGGGACAGCAGACGGCAACACTGGCTCGCATCCACTTCATGCAACAAATGACCGAAAGACCTGACATTACAGAATCATTTCTCAGGCTGTCCATTATTACCACGAGACAACAACAACAACAAAACAATTAACGTTTCTTACCGCTGCCCAGCCCCCGAAGTGTCCTTCCAGCCCGCAGACCTCTCAGCAGCGCCGCCATGTTCAGCTGCAAGAGAGGCTTATTTTAGACACAGCTGCGTCACTTTAACGCGACTCATTCGTGTGAAATACATCAAGCTAGCAAGAATTAAACCAAATAAAACCGACAAGCCAATAATGCTTCAATCTAAAACACATTAATTAATTTTTATAGGAGAAAAACAGCAATAGTAGTTGTGGTATGCGATGTTTGTGTCTGAATGACCTAATTTATTCCTAAAAGGTAGAGCCTACAAATTTTTCACCTCATACTTTAAATGGCCGAAACGTCAGAACCAGGTTTAATCACGTTCACAATAATTTTATTTTGAAAATTCAAACCGGAAGATTTCCATCTTACTTTGTGTACCTTTACACTGGAACTTCACAAAGATATAAGTAACAGAGCAAACTGGATTGAATTGTTTTTTCAGTAATTGAACAACAAAAACCTTTTACGAACAACCATTCAAAAAACGTGAGTATATTTGTTCGTGGGTAGCCGTGTACCGTAACAACGTGCTTATGAACTTGATAAGCACCGGCGTCTTCTGCGTCATGCTGTTCGCTTTAGCTAACCTACACTTTCCCCCTGTGTCAACAAACAAGCTAACACAAACGAGTAGTTAGCCGGGTCAACCCTTTTACATTAAAAGTTGAAATACATTTCTTGACTATTTAATAACGTTATAAAGTAACGACTTAGGCTATTAACACTAGAAAGAAACTTCCAGACTTTTCCCCTGTTTCCACATGCTAATGCCATTATTACGTTAATTATGGGCTAAGCAACGCTCGGCTACCTAACACGCTAACGTTAATCTCAAGGACAATTTTTTTTAAATGGGACTGATTCCTGGTTTTTATCGTAACGTTTTGAGTCGTTAAAAACGGGCTGTCATAATCACGCGCGTTTTAGGCGTGACGGTGGTCACGTAACAGTTACTGTGTTATCAGTTCTGTTGGTCTGGCTGGGTCATCTCCTGTAACAGACACGTTTCTTCACTTTCAGACGTTCCACAAACAGACAGAGAAGCATTTAAAGTATACCAACTAAAATAAATCTGTCATTTTCTCCAGGAAGTCATGGCAGACCTTGGCATCCAAGCAGGACACAAGGTGCTGCTGGTTTGGGCTCAGCCCTCATCACCAGCAGCCCTGAAACAATATGCAGAGGAACTGGGTGCCATTGTTGGTGCAGATGGAAAAGTGTCAGTGGAGAACATGGAGAGGTTATTGCTGTGTGAGTGACTCTTCACCTGACTTTAAGTTACCATAGGCAAAAATTTAAATCACAAAGTATGGCTGCAACTGAGACGGCTCTTTAGTCAACACTATTGTACAGTAGCTGCGATTTATCCTGTTATCATAAATAAAGTTCTGGCTGAAGTGAATGAATGGGTTCAGCACATAGTGTGACAACAAGAATCTGAAGTCAGGAGTAAAATTGTCTCCTCCCCTCTTCTCAGCCTCCCATTCAGCATCCACCTTTGACTGGGTGCTCTCTGGCCTTCTGGCTGACAGCACCTCCGTCCACGGTTCAGAGGCTCTAGCTGAAATGGCCAGAGTGCTCAAACCTGGCGGGAAACTAGTTGTGGATGAAGCAGTTGCAGGTGAGAGAGAAAAGTGTTTTTTATATAGATGTTAAATATATAATCCCCTTAACTAATGAAATGAATTGCTCATGCATAAATCGTTATGATTTATTTCATTTGTCAGGTGTTTTTATCCACAGGGCTAGGGCAGGATAAGGTTGTTGCTCTGCTTATTTTACACTTTGTGTGACTTGTTTCTTTCTGTGTTCCAGGAGATGAGGCGCAGAGCGTGAGGACTGCTGAGAAGCTGATGTCCGCTCTGAAGTTGTCCGGCTTCATGTCAGTGAAGGAGGTGAGTGAGTGGGTTCACACGCAGTGTGTTCAACCTAAAATTATCATTATTATTGAGTTCACGTTTGTTTTCTGCCATTGCAACGGCACTATTATACACTGTGCATTAGAGGGAAGTGTTGCACTTACCAAACCACAATGCACAAGTGAGAATATGAGAGATGTAATCTTGTGGTCAGCCACATTAAATAAAGTTTAAACTGTTTGACCTGTTGACCCTCCTTCCCCCTCTAGGTCAGTAAAGCAGAATTGAGTCCTGAGGCATTGAGCTCCCTCAGGACGGCCACTGGTTACCAAGGAAACACACTGTCTAGAGTCCGCATATCTGCTTCCAAACCCAACTATGAGGTGGGATCATCCAGCCAGATTAAACTGTCATTCGGAAAAAAGACGCCCAAGCCAGGTAGGTTTATAAGCCCAGTTTTTGTCTGTCACATGTAATGGCTCTAAAATCACTGGTCAGATTTTTTTGTGATGTGTCTCGTAATGGTCTGACAAAGAGGGTTCTACTACAAAAGGTAAAGAAAAACATGATAACCAGTCAAATGGGCATGCATGATGCCTTTTACATCAGTTAGTACAGAGCTGAGATTGTAATTTGTAGTCCAACGTACTTAAATATCAGCTAAACGTTAATATTTGCAAATATCTGTGTTTCAGCAGAGAAACCTGCTCTGGATCCCAACACTGTTAAAATATGGACGCTGTCAGCCATGAATGATGATGATGTGGTGAGTTATGGATTTTCTATCTTTGTGTCCTAATGTAAAGCCTTTTATGTATTATACAGTTTGGCCAGCTCAGCATGTTGGGACACATTTTCCTCTGACCGCAGCGTACCACTTCACATATTGTAGTCGTAAATGTTATGTTAAAAGCCATGCAGATATATTTCTTTAGGAAAATCAGACTGTCACGCACAAGATGATCCTGTGTTTACTGTTACTGACACGTTCTTGTCCCTTCTGTTCCCTTTCTGTCAAGGACCTGGTGGACTCGGATGCTCTGCTGGATGAAGATGACTTGAAGAAGCCCGACCCAGCCTCTCTTAAAGCAACCAGCTGTGGAGAGGGAGCCGGCAAGAAGAAGAAAGCCTGCAAGAACTGGTGAGGTCACCACGCAAATGTGTGTAAACCTCTTAATACCTGTGTTGCAGGTAGCTGTAACTGGGGCTGGGCTTTCAAAAATGTTGCTTGTAGTACATTTATCTGTGCTATCAAAAGCATTTAGACATTAAATGATACAATCTGTTGCATGTTTGTGTAGCACATGTGGTCTTGCTGAGGAGTTGGAGCAGGAGAGTAAAGACACAAAGAAGACTGACCTACCAAAATCTGCCTGTGGAAGTGTGAGTATATTTGATTATTAAATATTCTCACCATGTCCTCTCATATTTCCTCTCCTATCATTCTAACATGTTAACAATGTTAAGAAAAAATGCTTTCACTGATTTGTTGTTTCTGTTTGTGGCAGTGTTACCTTGGTGATGCGTTCCGATGTGCCAGCTGTCCGTACATGGGGATGCCGGCTTTCAAACCAGGGGAGAAGATAGTGCTGGACAACAACACACTGACAGACGCTTGATTTCACACATCCTACAGCTCATCCTTCAAAACATTACATTCCTCTCTTTTCCATCCACCCCGAGACTCGATTCCCGTCTGCGAAAACCACTGAGTTTAAAGCTGCTTTTTCAGCGGACGTCAATGCGGATGTGATGGGGATTTGTGCCCGTTTGCCTGCTCAGTGAGATGTCTTCTGTCTGATGGGTTCAGTGTTTCAAATCACAACACACATCATTTTGTTTCCAACAAAAGCAAGTCATGTTCATAGTTTCTTAATTTGAAAGTTTGGCAATGCAACTGTGACAACGAGCAAGAGTGAGATTTAAAACGCACTCCTTGTCACAGCAGTCTCACTCCTGCTGTTCATTATGCAAACTGTGGCGTTACAATTAGTGCTTAAAAGCTCTGAAATACATTTGCTCTTGTTGTTCCTTTTTAAAGGTTTTATTTACACCTGACCACTGACATAGTTACAGGATAAAGTCAAAAGTTCACCAGTATAACTGAAGCATACAGAGGTCCATACAAACACAATCTAAACTGTCCAAGCTGATCAATGTATATGAAGGCATTTGAAACAGTTTGGCAATAAGATGTGTTGCTGCCTTTTTGTTTTTAATTTAATACAATAAACTAAAACCAGACTTTATAGGAGTCCCATTTATTTCACTGTGGCTAAAAGTCATCTGATGGTACATTCTCATATCAGTGCATTACTCCAACTGTTGGATAACGGCACCTTAAAGGACAGCGAGCCTTTACTGAACACAACAGTCTGCGACATTAGAATTTATCATTCAATTTGAAGTGCTCATCAGTGACATGGTCCTGCTGTCTGTTCTTCAAAAATATTTAAACTTCATTCAGTAACACTGGACAACCAATATAAAACTGTTAACTCATTCAAAATGTTGATCCCCTCTGGTACACAATAAATATAAGTTCTTCTGATGTTTTGCTCTTAAATGAAGCCCTCAATCTAAATTATAATTGTCAGGATTATCATCAGTAACCCTCTGAGATGTAGCAGACAGTTTTAAAACACTGAATTCTGATTCAGTTTCAGGGATGATATATATGACCTATACAGTTTCAGTCAGAACAATAAAACAACAAAAAAAGTATTTGCTGAGTCACAGATGTTAAATATGCAAACAGTGACCTGAGGTAAAAAGCACAAAGAGTCTGTTTTTCAGTCAGCGATTGCTCCACATCACTGAGACTCGACGCTGAAGTCCATCTTAATGTCTCCTAAACTGGGTTCAAAGGTGAAGCTGTAAGACACTGCGGCTCTGCCATCATCTGAGCTGACCTGAGGTGACCTGAAGAAATACACTCCTTGTTTCCTGTGGCGACTCCACTCACACTCGCCCTGTAAGGACGACATGTCAGATCGGTCAGAAAATCCAACGCCAACAACTCTACTGTGCATGTCACTAAACCAAATGCTACCAACTGATGATGACGACTGCTCCTCATTTGTCAACACTGAGTGACTTGACAGTTCCAGGCACAGACAGGTGTACTATTTTGAAGCCACCATGTCATTCTTGAGCATTTTTACTAAAACACATGCATTTAGCTCAATCTCTAAAACCCAAACGACTTGGTAGCAATTTCAAAATGTCCCGTGATTTAAGTAGCTCATCCCATGTCACAAGAATCTATCATCAGCACTCAAGTACATTCCTCTTGGTGAGGTCAGACTGTCTACCACCCATCTGCCTCTATCTATTATCTATCTTACCATTTACAAGGACTACCTATAGACTATAGTCAAAGGTACTGAGCTGCCAACCTTTTGAATGGAGCAGCTCAGTGATCACATAATGAACTACACTGGAAACAAATGAGAACTGCAAAGCAGAGCTTAGCTGGGAAATAGTTTCACTATACCATCACAGATGTTCAGAAAGTATTCAGACCCCTTCACTTCTTTTCACATTTCAGTCATGCTGCAGCTTAATGCTAAAGCCTTTCCAAACCCCGTCCAATCAACTGAATTTACCACAGGTGAACTCAGCTACAAGAGCAAAGGGTCTGAATACTTTCAGATAATAATTTCAGTTTTTTTCCCTTTTCTTTTTAATACATTTCTAAAATCTTGTGTTTAATTTGTCATCATGGGGTATTGAGTGTAAACTGATGAGAGAAATGTTTTATCTAAATCACTAGGCTTAGTAACAAAATGGGGAAAAAGTGAAAGGGCACTGTATATTAGCTCTGAAAATACATTTAGGGCTGAAGCAATCAGTCCATCTACTAATTGACTATCAATTAGTTTGATAATTAATAAATAGTTTGAGTCAAAACTATTACTGTAATTGTAAAAAAGACCATGACCTTGATTAGACAGAGTGAGCGCAGCAGGTAACAAAAAACTGCAAACAAGAAAAGCAAAGACGATCAACGTGTTGAGGAGAGGCTACGGGTGAAGGCCGTGATACCTGCTCGCTGATCGGTCCAATCAGACCTGCGCTGACAGTGATGTCATCGGTCAGGTGATATTCCATCCACAGCGCGACACCATGGCAACGACCGATCCTGAGAGAGACATTTAAACAGGCTGAACACCTCTGCAAGGGGGATGTGTTGTTTACAATAGGTGAAGAAAGAGTTCAGTAAACACTGTGTCTATCTGTGGGAGCTCTGCTCATGTAGGGCCACCAAACACTGCTGCTGTTCTGTCTAGTAAGGGCAGCTGTTCAGATTCCTTAAGCAAACTCTAAATTGAATCAAATTACAACTTCACAGCGTTTTTTCTTCATAGGGGAAACAATTCTTCCCTCCATGTACCGAAACTACGGAAGCCTCTAGCGGCCATCCATTCAAATATCTTTTGTTACTCAATTTTCCTGTGATAACAGGATCATTTTCTCGTGATCTCGAGATAACAAAACACAGGACTCATAATCTCAGGGTTGCGTGTTTAATCCTCACTGAACTTTTTAAAAATCTTTTTCATAATCCTCTTTAACAAAGTTCTTATGAAGAGACTGTTTCACATGCTCACAATAAAGCACGTGCTGGACTGTGTGCATCCCGGAGATTGGGCCACATCCATCAACCTATGGACTTTTCATTTCCCCATCATCTCATTCAGGGGAATCCATTTAACGTTACATATTGCCTAACAGCTATTTCAGAGGTTTGGAAAATGTGTAACGTTAACGAAAATGTGTAATTGGATTCCCCTGAATGTCTTCATAACAACTTGAAGAGGATAATACAAAACACACAAAAGAAGAAAAACAGGTGGTGAGAGCAGGGGTTGAACACACAATCCTTGGATTATAAACCCTGTGCTCTACCAGCTGAGCTAACCAATGACACTGCTAATTTGTCTGAAATTATCCCAAAGAAACGTACTTGCAGACCCCCACGTTCAGCTATGGTTCGTTATCTCGACATCACGAGATAATTATCCCATTACTATTACTACTGAGTAAAAAAAGGCTTCTGTACGAAACAAAGCAACAATCTGCTTCTGTTTATGTGTTTTTAGAAAAAAAGAACATGTCTGCAAAGTGTATCTGAGCTTAAACAGGTTCAACCCACTGCCACAAACTATAAAAGCGACTACTGAATGATGAGGTCAATATGGACACAAAGGACAGTGATGTGGCTACAAGCTAATGGGACCAGGCTACATTATTTATTTAAATAATTCTGGTTTAGGTTCTTGGCAGGCCTGATTAAGAAGATAATATTGATTTTGGTCATTCCCCCAAACTGAGTGACCTTCTGACTCACCGACTGCAGTTGTAAGTGACATATGATAGCGGTCTATCTATTAATAATCATTTTGGGCTCAACACAAAATAAATAATTTAGCCCAAAATGTTTAGCCAAAACGAATAATTTGTCACAGTAAACTGACAATCTTTTTTTGAAATGTGAAGGTAGTATTTACCTTAGAATAAAACAGTTTTCATAATTTGGTATATGGTTCTTGATCTCATACTGAAAACTCAGTACCTTATGAAAGGCAGTGAGCCCCGACTGCTGATTGGCTGCTGAGGGACACACTGTGTGAAGTCAAAGGTCATGGCGGCTGTGGACTGGGTCAGAGCACGGCACGGGTACTCCCAGAGAGGGTGGGGCTCCGCCTCACGGGACTCGCGGTAATCCAGAGATCGCTGAAGGCACAAATGTTGCGTCGAGTGATTTTTATAATAATTCATTTTCAAAAAATACATGACTTCAGAAACACAGGAGGAAGTCAACACAGACCTGAACTCAAATACACAAGCAGAAAACATAGCTGTCATGCGTTTTCTGATGAACACATTTCTTCTCCACAAAGAAACAAAAATGGATGCATAAAAACTTTACCTGGATCATTTCATCCATGGGTGTGACATCAAAGCCCTCGCATGTTCCAGACGGTGCTCTTATCCTCCACAAATCCTAACAAACATGGAAAAGAAAATGAATTCAACAGGGACTTACCTTCACCTTGCTGATGAAGAAGACAGCAAGATATATCTCATACCTATGCAAAACAGAAATGACATCTCTAATTGAAATACCTCTTTTAAATGTGCGGTCTCACCTGGAACTCTACAGCCACCATGTGAAGTGTGGCAGAGCAGGGCAGGATGGTGGCGCTGGGCCGGAGAAGGCCTGCCAGGGCGGTCCGACAGTACCAGAAGAACAGGGAATGCCAGGGTAAGAGGCTGGTGCTGAAGTACGGTTCACTCATCAGGACTGAGATCTGTAGGAGAGAAGCTTTACACTCACTCCGCCGAGATCCACACGTCTGATTACCCAACTGCACAAAATACACGTGGGTGGGATTTTTGGCTTCGGATGTTTTCAGCTCAATCACTTTATCAGGTTGATGTGGTGGGCGTGCGAGCAAACATGCTTCCTATTTGCACCTCCAGCAGACAAGGAGCGACATTAGTTTTCATATGCAGCTATGCGTCTGGCCACCTGATGAGTCTAAGTTCAATATTCACTTTCCTTTTAGCTGCTTTTGGTGAAATCTGCTAAATGCTCACCTGTGTTCACCAGCTACTCGCTAACTTTGTCTATCTGTGGTTTGGTGCTGGGCTGGAAGTATGCAGTGGGTTTATGTTGATAAGAGTTGTGAGGCTGAACCAAAACAGTAAAGCCGCATGAATAATGTGGTACGAGATGAGAAAACACTGCATAGAGCTGAGGGAACTCCAGATGTGGTGCTAATTCTCAGAGGGTGTGACAACTTCTCTACTTTCACTTTTATTTTATGGACTTTTAACATCAACAGTCTCATTTTAACAACATCTCTCTGGAATTTCTAACTTTATCACCCTTAATAGTAACAGGCAGCGATGCACGGCACTAAAGGCGTGTTCCAAAGGTACCTGTTCCCCTCCTAGATCATTTCTGGTCAGCTGCTCAGGCCTGGTCTCCAGCAGCTCAACACCGCCTTTCATCGAGTTGGCTTCCAACACCTGCAGAGAAAAATATGGAGCATCAGCGCTTCTCAAATGGCCTCTGGAGTTTTGTGTTTTTGTGTTGATATACCTAAAAGAATGAATATCAAGGATCACTAGTCAAAGATGAGGCAGTAATAACTCATTTACCTGCTCAATAACCTGTTTAGACATTCTGGAGCTTTCCAAACCTACGACCTAAGCGGAGGTCAAGAGAAAAAAAAGA